TTACCTATTGATTCAAAATTGTTAAAATAAATCTTATCAATATATGTTTTCATACACCGATTATTTAGTGTCGTTTCGCTTTAATCCACCCCAAAGGAATTTTTGATAAAACCTGGGTTACCCCCTCCCCCCTCTTTTCCTGGGGCGGGTCGTAACAGCTGTCCGTCTCATGCTCTGCCCCGGTTACCGAACTTCCCTCAGCTGAACCCTAGATAAGTCCCAGTCCTCCCTTAATAAAGGGGCCATTGCACCCCAACCTTCTATCTTGTCGGACCCTTCTGTGCAGTGTTACGTCCCTATTCCTTACGCCACTGGGCCATGGCATAGTTTACTTGGACATTCCAGGGGAGATGTCCTGCCACAGGTCTAAAGTCAAAAAATTTGCTCTTCCCAATGAATTTCCAATCTTAGTCTGTGTTCTGATGAATGTTCCTCCCCCTGCCTTCATCCAGATGCCTACAGGGAACCAGGAGGATGGAGACCACCTGCCAGATGTCTTCCCAATGTGTATCATCTGGAATGTGAGTCACCAGGTCTGTGCCCAATGTGGGTCACTGTGGATCATCCAACGTGGGTCCTCCGATGGGTGATGGAGTTGGAGCAGCAGATGAAGCTCTTCCCGCAGTCAAGGCGCTCACAGGGCTTCTCTTACTGGTGGGTCCATTGGTGTGTGGTCAAGTTAGAGCTCTGATTGAAGCTCTTCCCACACTTGTCACACTTGTAGGGCCTCTCCCCGCTGTGGATGCGCCGGTGCCTGACAAGGTGGGAGCTGCTGATGAAACTCTTCCCACACTCCTCACACTGGTAGGGCCTCTCCCCGGTGTGGATGCGTTGGTGGGTGATGAGCATGGAGTTGTCCTTGAAGCTCTTCCCACAGTCGGTGCAGCGGAAGGGCCTCTCCTCCCTGTGCATCCGCTGATGCCTGAGGAGATGTGAGCTGGTCAGAAACCTCTTCCCACATTCCAAGCACTTGTAGGGCCGTTCCCCAGTGTGAGTCTTCTGGTGCAAGATCAAGTAGGAGATGCAGCTAAAGCTCTTCCCACATTCCAAGCACTTGTAGGGCCGTTCCCCAGTGTGGATGCGCTGGTGGTTCTGGAGGGTGGAGTTGTCGCTGAAGCTCTTCCCACATTCCAAGCACTTGTGGGGCCGTTCCCCTGTGTGGCTGCGCTGGTGGCCGATCAGGTGGGATCTCCGCCTGAAGCTCTTCCCACATTCCAAGCACTTGTGGGGCCGTTCCCCGGTGTGGATGATCTGGTGTCCGATCAGGTGGGATTTCCGGCTGAAGATCTGCCCACATTCCAAGCATGTGTAGAGATGCTCACGGGTGTGGATGTTCCGGTGGCGGATCAGGCTGGACCTATGACTGAAGCTCTTCCCACATTCCCCACACGTGTAGGGCTGTTCTCCCGTGTGGATGTGCTGGTGGGTGAGGAGCATGGAGCTCCGGCTGTAGGTCTTCCCACATTCCAAGCATTTGTAGCGCTTCTCCCTGGTGGGAGG